AATATAGTCCAAATTTTAAAACATATCAAAGAATGTCCAACTTTTTCGAGGTACTTGGGTAAGATGTGGAGTCGTATTTGTGAGAGTCTTGAGGTAGTAGAATCTTCTTAGTCCGGTTCGAGCATACAAATGGAAAAGAAACTCAAATAATGTAGTTTATTTCAGGCACGCAAATAGGGACTTAACACCTATTTGAGAGCTAGTACAAGCTCAGGTGTCACTGGCATTCAGTGGCGTTGATCCCCAACTGGTAGAATATGGTGGTGATTGTTGATAGCATAGGGAGAGAGATAAAACAGAATTAGTGCTCTCTGTATTGAATTTTATATAAAAGTTAAATATAAAAGGTCTTGTACTCACATTTAGGTGAGCAGGATATACTGCTCACTATGATAGCATGGGTGGTATAATCCCCACCTAGGATTCTTTTCCGATATTCTTGATGATCAGGTAAAATAAATATAAAAAAGGTATATGGCACAAGAGAAGTTAAGGAGCCAATATTCCTTTAATAATACACAATAGAAAATATTAAAAACAGCCAACACACTTTTCACCAACACAGGGCTTCATCAACTGGCATACTAAAGTTGGACTTTCTTTCGGACTTTCTTAAAATCTGGACTATATTATATCTCGATTTGGCTTTTGTATGTAAGTATATTATTGGTATTATACTATTTTATTGATTTTACTGTGGCACGACCTAATTTTACATTTTACAAAAATAGAAAGGTGTGTAGGTGCTACCAAATACAAAATACAAAATGACTGGTGCAGTGTAAGTGTATCCCACAACACTCAAAGAAGAAGTAACATAAAACAGATACTGCACCAGCCAGCAAAATACTAAGAACAGGTTCAATCTAAAAGACAAAGATATAAAACATAGTGCAAACTGTATATATAAATATTGAACCCCTGTCTAGAATAAAACTCAGAGGATGAAGAGCCATCACAGGCTCTATATGATGCACAGAAGGCTGTCTATCAAGGCTAAAACGATATCCTGGATGGAGAGCAGCTCAGGAATCAAAGTAGTAAGACAAAAGTTTATTGGTTTAAAATTAAAATAAGGGACAATAAAGCAGTGTGAAAAATACAAAATAAATGTAAAAGGCAAAAAAGCCTAGGCTAACACTGCAGGAAAGTATAAAAAGTCCCAAAAAAGATAAATACAAATATCAAATAGCAGACGCGTTTCAACTCCAGCTGGAGTCTTCTTCAGTGCTGCAGTTCTCTCATCTCAATGGCAATAAATACCCTTCCGAATCAATCTTCAACCTTACACAGCTGCGTATCTTCCCCTTTCACCAGTTTGCTCTCACTTTGATGATTGAGGGACCGGAAGTGACGTAGTCACGCCACGTCACATGATGGGCACGGCATGATGATATGGATATGCCATGCCGGAAAGGGGAAGATACACAGCTGTGTAAGGTTGAAGATTGAGAGCACTGCAGCATTGAAGAAGACTCCAGCTGGAGTTGAAATGCGTCTGCTATTTGTATTTATCTTTTTTGGGACTTTTTATACTTTCCTGTGGTGCTAGCCTAGGCTTTTTGCCTTGTACATTTATTTTGTATTTTTCACACTGCTTTATTTTCCCTTCTTTTAATTGTAAACCAATACATTTTTGTCTTACTACTTTTATTCCTGTGCTGCTCTCCATCCAGGCAGGGCCAGATTAAGAGTCCAGTGGGCCTGGAGCTGACAATTATGATGGGCCTAATTACAGAATCTTATCGACCAAAAACACCGAAAGAACCATACCTCCCAAGTGTCATGTATCTGATGGAGATGGTGTTGGAGGGAAACTCAAAGGATGCAGCTATATGAAAACACATACTCTATACTAATCTCTCTTTAATTTATGCTTTCATCTTTCAAGTAAATCAATAACTCCTAACAGCAGTGTCCAGTGAAGCAGGAAGTCAATAGGCAGGGTAAAAGGGTGTGCCACTGACTCAAATCACGTGACCAGACCTGCCAAATGGGGTGAACATGCCCAAAAAAGGGGCATGTCTGTCCAAAGAATTGGAAGGTCAGCCGGGCATGAATGCATGTCAGGCTGCCTGCCAATCATGCATGCTGTCCAACCAAGGGCATAGTTTGCAGGCAGCACCCTGAGCTTGACATAAATGCATCAAATGATGCGCCTCCTCCACGCTTTCTAAGGACTGTCCCCTAGCACTCACATGTCCACTCGTCTCCTTATCGTCTTACTAACAGGAAGAAGTTCCTGGTATATAGTCTGGGACAGATTAAAGGTGTATGTAGTGAAGGTAGAAGAAAGGGGACATGTCACAGTGTTAGAGAAACCAAAGTATGCATTACCTAAACTAATTTTATTGTCAGCCAGTCTACACAAGTTTTGTTGCCGTACATCCCCCTTAAGCTTCCAAACTTAAAGGAGGGACAATATAGTCATCAGAACAACAACAGCTTATTGTATTTGCTCTGGTAAGTAGAATCATTCCATTCAGGCTTTCAGGCTTTTTGCAGTCTTTTTAGAGAAAATAACTCCACTGGCAACTCATTAGATGGCTGCTAGAGGTGCTTCCTGGGGCAGTACTGCCTAGTGTGCAGCCCTGCCTTCAGTGTCTCCACCCTCTGCATGCAGACACTGAACTTTCCTCATAGAGATACATTGATTTAATTTATCTTTATGAGGAGATGATGATTGGTCAGGGCTATGTTTGGCTTTGCCCCTGATCTGCCTAGTTGACAGTCTCAGGCAATCCTACAGGGAAGCATTGTAATTTGCTTAGACCACCACTTCTGATGATGTCAGCAGACAGAGTCAGTTTAGAGGCAGAGCCAGCAGCTGCAGACTACACAATACAGATAGAGATTTTACTATATTTAGGGAGGCAAGAGGGGACCAGGGGGGCTTGATGGTGTTTTTTACATAATGGTCAGAAATACATGATTGTGTTCCTGACCCTATAGTGTTCCTTTAAGCAAGAGTATGTGAAGAGTAGTTTGGGTTGCCCCTTTTCTTGAAAAAATTTTTTAGCTTTAATAATTTGTACAATTAATTAGTTATGCGTGACATCACATGATGTAAATCACAAGGAGTGACATAAGAGAAAATTCTGTAAAATCACCAACAAACTACTCATAGTTTGATTCTGCTGTATAGATGAATTGCTCCCAGTCTCGCAAGTCACCCAGTGTCTCAGTGTCCCCATTTCTCCCAGTGTCCCCATGTCACTAGGATACTAGGGGACACAGTGAGACATGGGGACACTGAGAGACCCGGGGACACTGGGAGACATGGGGGCACTGAGACACTTGGGAACACTGGGAGAAATGGGGGCACTTGTAAATACAGACATGGGGATACTAGGGAAACTTTAAGACACTGGGAGACATGAGGGCAGTGAGACATTTAGGGAAATGGGGACACAGACACTAGGGACACAGAGACATGGGGACACAGACACTGGGAGACTAGGGGACACTGAGACATTAGGGACACTGACTGGGAGTCAGACACTTGGGGACCCTGGGAGACATGGGGACACTTGTGGACATAGACATAGGGACACTGGGGGACATGGGGACACAGAGACATAGGGACACAGACACTGGGAGACTTGGGGACACTGTGGACACTGGCTGGGAGACATCGGGACTCTGAGTCACTAGGGACAGAGAGACATGGGGACACAGACACTGAGAGACTAGGGGAAACTGGGAGCCCTGGGGACACTGAGCCACTAGGGACACTGGCTGGGGGAAATGGGGACACTGGGAGATATGGGGAAACTGTGTCCCTAGTGTCTCCGTGTCCCAATGTCTCCCAATGTCCCTATGTCTCACAGCGTCCCCATGTGTCACAGTTTCCCCATGTTTCCCAGTGTCCCCAAGTATCTCAGTGTCTCCATGTGTCCCCTAGTGTATCAGTGTCCCCATGTCTCCCTGCTGTCTTTCCCCCATCCCTCACTTACCTGAGCTGTAGAGCTGCTGTCTGGTCTCTCTGTGCTGTGTAGCTGCTCCCCCACGGATCAGTGAGTAGTAAAGAGAGGCAGAGATATGCTGTAACTTCCTATCCCTGCCGCTCTCCACACAAAGTGACCCCTACTGGCCGGTGCTGGTATTCCAGAGTAATCGCCGTTTATACTGAGAAAAATACCTGCATTTGTATTGCCGGTATTACTGCAATACTGGCACGGCCAGGCAACCTCAAATACCGGCTATGCCAGTAAAATACCAGTCAGGTGGCAAACCTAAGAGTAGTGTGTAAAAATTATTATTTTTTTAAAATGTGCCTATTCCATGGGCCTGGAGCTGCAGCTCCATCAGCCCCTATATTAATCTGGCCCTGCATCCAGGATATCATTTTAACCTTGATAGGCACCCTTCTGTGCATCATATAGAGCATGGGACGGCTCTGCATTCTGTGAGTTTTATTCTAGACAGGGGTTCATTATTTGTATATACAGTTTGCACTATGTTTTATATCTTTGTCTTTTAGATTGATCCTGTTATTAGTATTTTGCTGGCTGGTGCAGTATCTGCTTTACTTCTTATGTTAATTTTCCATTTTATTGTTCACCATTTCCTTTTGAACGTCTGTGAGGAAACCTCATACCTTTAGGTTTCTGCCATGGGTGTCCACAGGGGGAGTTAAGGGGCACTAGCCTGATTTTCAGCTTGTTTTGCTAATTTTTGTGTGAGATTGAAAATAAAGTGCAATATGGAGAGAGACAGCGATAGGAAGCTGCATCTTATCCCTGCTTCTCTCTGACTGAATCCGCGGGAACAACACATGCAGCCAGAGACAGCATACAGATCAGGTAAGTGAGGCATGGGGGGCAGAGAGAGCCTATAGATCAGGGAAGCAAGGGAGGGGGGTGAGAGAGACTATAGATCAGGTAAGTGAGGCATGGGGGGGTAGAGAGAGCCTATAGATCAGGTAAGTGAGGCATGGGGGGAGAGAGAGCCTATAGATCAGGTAAGTGAGGCATGGGGGGGAGAGCCTATAGATCAGGTAAGTGAGGCATGGGGGGAAGAGAGAGCCTATAGATCAGGTAAGTGAGGCAGGGGAGAGAGAGCCTATAGATCAGGTAAGTGAGGCATGGGGGGGAGAGCCTCACTTACCTGATCTATAGGCTCTCTCTTCCCCCCATGCCTCACTTACCTGATCTATAGGCTCTCCCCCCCATGCCTCACTTACCTAATCTATAGGCTCTCTCTCTATAGGCTCGCTCTCTCGCAGGGAAGTGAGGCATATGGGGGGAAGAAAGAGCCTACAGATCAGGGAAGTGAGGCATATAAGGGGCAGAAAGAGCCTATAGATCAGGGAAGTGAGGCATATGGGGGGGCAGAGATAGCCTATAGATCAGGGAAATGAGGCATATGGGGGGCAGAGATAGCCTATAGATAAGGGAAGTGAGGCATATGGGAGGCAGAGATAGCCTATAGAAGTGAGGCATATGGGGAGGGGGGAAGAGATAGCCTACAGCTCAGGGAAGTGAGGCATATGGGGGGAAGAGATAGCCTACAGGAAGGGTCAGCAAGGTCCAAGAAGGTAAAGTAAGAGAAGACGCAGAAAGGAGAAGGAAGGAGCAGAAAGGAGAAGGAATAGAAATGAGCTGGAAGGGACAGCAATGAGCATGAAGGGTCAACAAGGAGCAGGAAGGTAAAGCAGCACAAAGGTAAAGTAGAAGGAGCAGAAAGGGTCCGCAAGGAGCTGAAAATGGCAGCAAGAAGCAGGAAGGGACAGAAGGAGCACAAAGGTGAAGTAGGAGAAGGAACAGAAATGAGCAGGAAGGGTCTGCAAGGGGCAGCAAGGAGTAGGAAGGGTCTGCAAGGAGAAGCAAGGGTCTGCAAAGAGCAGAAAGGGACAGAAGGAGCACAAAGGTAAAGGAGCAGAAATAATCAGAAGGAGCACAAAGGTAAAGTTGGAGAAGGAGCAGAAAAGGGTAGCAAGGAGCACAAAGGGACAGCAAGGAGCACAAAGGTAAAATAGGAGAAATAGCAGAAAGGGTTTGCTAGAGGCAGAAAGTGACCAGAAAGAGAAAGGAGTAGAAGGGGGAGCACAATAAGCAGAAAGTAGCAGAAAGGTAAAGGAGCAGAAGAAGTCAAGGAGGAGAGAAGACAGTGTCAGAAGAAAAAGAAGACTGTGTCAAATGAAGGAGAAGAAAAGGAGATTGGAGCAGGAAGGACAAGTGAAGTGAACCCTCCACCTTATTCTGGACACCACATCATAAGGCTTTGGTACCTGGGCCTGGCAGGGAACCTTTGGACCTTCTCATCTCTCCAGGTAAAAAAATATATCAGTGTTAATGTGTTCACTTTTATTTACAGAGTGCCAGGAAGCACAGAGGGCCACTGGGGAAGGGTGTCGCTGATTGGCTAGAGCGGTCAGCTAGCACTCTAAGCCAATCAGTAGCTCCCCCTTCATAAAAAAGTAAAACATTTTTATGAACCAGGAACTAGCGATTGGCTTAGAGCATCAACTGACCATTCTAGCCAATCTGTAGCACCCATGCCTGTCGTCAATCTGCACTTCCTGACACTCTGTTTCAGAAGCCAAATACCACTGAGCGACCTGGAAATCTGGAGCTGCAGGAAGCCTTCGGGGTTAAACCATTTGAGAGCGGTTTAACCCTTTAAAGGAAAGAGAGCACCCAGGGGCTTCCTGGCATCATAGCATTTTCATTTAGATGAAGTTGTTATGGTGACCAGAATGTTCCTTTAATTTGCTTAAAGGAACACTATAGTGTCAGGAATACAAACGTATTCCTGACACCATAGTTGTGAAAACGCTATTCACCCTGGCTTTATGTGATAATGACTATGCTCTTCCCCATCATGACACTGTCAAAAAGGGACCAAGCATGGATGTCATTACAATTATGCCCGCCCCCCCCCAGAAAAATTCCTGCGGACGCCGATGGTTGCTGCCTACTCTTATCTTATCTTCTAGTTGGCCACTAAGCGCTGATCCATTTGTTGCTTGGATCAGTATTGGATTGCAGTCAATACTAGATTTTACTAAAAATGTTACAGGAGTATTACAGTTTGGCTAGTTTGAATCTCAGTCAGATCACCACACTTGTAAGTGCCTTTAGGCAAGACATATACTGTATTTACTCGAATCTAATGCGCACCTCAATTTTTGAAACCTGGAAGCTAAAAAATGTTTTTGCTGGCCAATGTAATGTGCATTTATACAAGAAGATACTGAATTCACCAGTTTTAATTCGCCTGTGTAAATTCGCTAGAATGAAATTTGCAGGAAAATTTAGAATTTTGCCCCGAATGTAATACGCCACAGAATCTAATGCGCATTAAAATTTTGGAAATTTTATTTACAAAAAAGGTGCACATTAGATTTGAGTAAATACGGTATTTATATTTTTCACATGCCTGGTGCTAGACTATGCCGCATAAATACATACAGTGAAGGAAGGTCTGCACTCACGGTCTTCTTCACAATAACGGTTTATTTCTTCAGTGTTGATGAAGTATTAGCAATATGTGATGAAAAATAAGGTTGATGTTTCAGTATAAGTGATGTGATAAATCACAAAAAAACAACAAATAAAGGTAGTTTGAATGATAAATGTATACATATTGCTAATTGTTATGTGTCTTTTGTAATATGTATTATGTTACGAAAACCACAATAAAAAAAAGTTTAAAAAAAAAAAGGTTGGGGCGGAGCCTGACCGCCAAATGGAGTGGATGTGGGTTCCATGAGCTCCTGTCTGGCGGGCAGGAAACATCGAAATAACACCGGCCTCGAGGCTCAAAGAAGCACCAGGGTGTGCTACCCACGTTGGGGGTGCACCACAGAAGCGAGGGATACTACTCAGACGCCGTCGGGACCAGGGGCACTGAAAACCGGGTACGGCCTACCGGAGCTGAAACCTGTGTAGCGTCCGCTCTCCCCGACCTCAGAGCTCCTAAGCGACGCAGCAAGCACCCTACCCCGGAACGGTCCCCACTGGCCACTCTGAGCCCACTGACGGACTTACCGACCGTGTAGCTTGCAGGGTTATAACTCCGACGAGAGGCAGCCAAGATGGCGGCCCAACAAAGGCCCAATTCAAACAGTACAAGCACCCAACTGCCAACGCAGGCACTGGAGGCATTTGTCAGGCTGTGTAAAAGCTTCTGGACGACACTGTGCAAGCAAGGTATGACTCACAGTCAAGCGGTGAGAACAGTGGCTAAGTTGATCCGCCTTGCTGCCCGACGCCGCCACTATGATCCCTGACCTCAGAACCCCAGAGCAGTTTTCCAGCTACACAAAGGCAAGCGACTGACTAGGTGGGAAAAGGCGCCAAGAGGCTCGGGCATAAACACCCGCTCCCACACTCGGAGCCCCAAACAAGCCACACAAACACATACCCCACCGGATCCAAAAGCCAGAGACCAGCGCGGAACACTTCTGCCCCTTATGACCACGGCCTCCAACCGGGTCGCAACACAGGAGTCCACCCCACAGCCTACTGAAGAAGCCGAATCCCACTGCAGAGACACCATTAAGGGAGCTTCTAACGCCAAATTCCGGGACATTCCAGCGTTGGGTATAGGCTGAAGCGTCCACCATACTGCCTCAGAAGGGTACTTTTATCTTTAGCCTGGACTGTTCCGAGCTCCCACAACAGCTAAGTACCCAGACTCAGAGGCCTGATGCATCACCCAAGCAGACTATGCTTCCGTTTTTACTTAAGCCCTCATCAGTTATGGAACTGCAAAATATGTTGAACCCTACTCCCAGTGGTTTAATGACTAATTAACTCTTGACACTACAACTTTATCTTTTGTTAAGACAGTTCAGCAAGATTACTTGACGTCATAGGCACAACCTAGCGTAGTTACCAGCTAACTCCTCACAGCCTATGTCTGTAGAGCACAACTTAGTCATATATTACACATAAGCCAGTTACTGTTATAAGTATAGTATTATAACTACACTAGAATAGCCAAACTAGCATTGCTAAACATCATTCACTTAATGCTACTCTGACAATATAAACGTATAGTTAAGCTTGTTATCGCTTTATATATAAAAAATGTGCAAGCTTCTATGCCACAGTCTAACTTATGCGATTCCCGAAACACTAATCTGCACAACAAAAATAAAGAATAAGAAAAATAAAATTAAAAAAAAAGGTTGACATTTCACTTCCTGATTGTAACTTTCCTCAGAACAACATGGTATCATTGAGCAGGGCAGAGCCCAGACTTTGAACCCAATTGAACATCTCTGGAGAGACATGAAAATGGCTGTCCACCAATGGTACCCATCCAACCTGACAGACCATAATAAGATCTAAACACAGATCATGAGAAAATCTAAACACAGGTGTGCAAAGCTTGATACATCCCTAAAAAGGCTGAAGCTATATTTATTACTAAAGGTGCTTTAACTGTGTCCTGAATACTTATGTCAAATGGATTCTTCAGATTTTCTGTTTAATATATTTGCAAAGGTGTTAAAAAAAACAGGGGTATTCGGTGTAGATTGATGTGGAAAACAAATAATCTAAACAATTGTAGTATAAAAAAAATGTAAAACAAATAAAACAATTAAGGGGCCTGAATGTTTTATGAATTCACTATGTAACTCATGCACCCACATGTAGATTCAATCGATATTTAGAATACTGTGGGAGGAATCTGAAGTTGAGGATGCAATTTAGCTTCAGAGGAAAAATGAGCTTAGTAAATAAATCTATTAAAAAAGTCAGAGTCACAAAGTAAAATGCAAGCTGCACACAAACATAGACAAAAATAGTATGTGAAAAAATAAGTGCAAACAACACTCCTCACCCTGTGATATAAAAGTGAAATTATTTCACAGTACAGATGGCTTCGACTTCCTCTAATCTCAACATGCAGTAACTATAGACAAAGACATATATGAGGATACAGCCAAGAGAAAACACACAAAATAATGAAAGAGGTCTGGGAGCTGTGTCCCTATCGAACTTAGTGCTGCAATGTAAAACATTGCAGTTCCATAGAAACTGATATTTCAGATATTTTTCCCCTATAGGAAAGCATTGAATCAATGCTCTCCTATAGGAAGATCTAATCTGCATTTGTCGCGCATGCGCATTAAACCCCGCTCATCATGTGATGGAGGAGGGGGCGGACCAGCACAGAGGGACATCGACCCTGGCAAAAGATAAGTAAATAAAGGGGGTTTGACCCTTTAT